AACAGGTTTGCTCTAACTCCCTTGGATTTTGGGGGGTTTAAACTAACCTCCCAGCTGTGCACTGAAATGAATTAAAGGTGCGCATACAAGGACCATGGTGCCTGGGCTGAAAGATCTTCCACCACGTTGCAGGCCCTTGTTCCATCGTGCTGTGCTGTTTGCACACAAACTGCGAGTGGCTGCACAGCACAGGAGTGTGGAGCTGGGGAAGGATCAGGAGTGCTGAGTGTGCAGATTGCACCCAGCATCACACCACAGCTTCCCCCAGACAGCATGTTGCTGCGTGTGGAGCAGAAATCCGCCTCTGTTTCCTATTTTATAGAAACTGATATGACCGCAGTGGATCTGTCCCCAGCTGCCCTACTTGAATTTTAGAGTATATTTGGGACTTTCCCTTTTGAGGGTATTTGGACCTGATTTTCTGGGTAGTAGTAATAAAGGTCCAAAAAAAGCCAAAAAGAAATATATGAAACATTTCTGTTAAGTTTGAAATGAAATTCTAAATAAGATTTGTGTGTGTTTTTCTCGGAATATTTGCTACTCAACGCTATTAATAATAATAAAAAGTTATCTGTTTTCTTCCCTTATTCTCCTAATTGTTTGTAATATTTTTCCTACTTTCAAAGGAAAGGATTGAAACTGTGGAGCTCTGGGAGTTCTCCCATTTGCCATATGTTGTGTATGTGTGCATTTTATATATATGTATATATGTATGGACATTGTGGCTTAGCCTAGATAGTGACAAAAACGCATCCACTGCTGGAACACTTGAGAAACAATAAAATAGTGCCTTACTCCATCAGTCCACTACTCCAGACTCAGAATCACTCATCTTGGCCAGAAATTACTGTGGGAAAAGAAGAGGGAGATGGATGAATATCGTCTTCTGTCCTTCCACATCTGTGCTCTCCTTTAGCATACTCGACCTTCCCACAGCTTTGGAGTGTGCTAAGAGGCCAAAAGTCTTCTGGCCTGAATTCTCCTCCTCTTAATTTTTAACCTGCCAAATAATCTAAACTAGAACTACACTTGCTTTAGGCTTTCTATGGAGTCAGTGGAGAGAAAAAAGCATCTCCAGAAGATGACTCAGATATTCCACAGGCTCTGGTACTTGGCAAGGCCAGATGTGCTCCTCCCAGCTGGACAGCAGCAGGAAGCCAGGGCAGCCCCAGGAGCCCCAGCTGAGCGACAGCATCTCTGGGAGATCCTAGACAGATGTGAGGGGCTCTCCTGCACACACTGCAGTCGTGATCGTGGGCTACAAAGACAAACACACCAAAAGAAAAGTGTCTGTAGCAGAAAGAAGCACTCCTGTCAGCCTCTGTACAAGAGAGCCATTTTGTCTCTGCCTCTACCTTTGCCTCAAAGAGTGACTTGGAACTAAGTACTGATGTACATCTGTGAACAGAAATGGGAAACATGCATCCTCAACTAAAAGCAAAATGTGTTCTTTATCATATTTTCTGATTTCTTCCTCTCAGCAAGGAAGTATTCCTTATTTTTATCCCACTTGATCCTAACTGCAGCATTCAGCTGCTGTGTTGCAATCAACAGCACAGTCCTGAGGCCCCAATTTCCCTCCAGTTTGACACACACTCAAGGGCTACGCTTCAGGCCAGCACAAATTAGTCCCAACAAAAGCAGTTTTGCACTACCATTCTTTTCTCATCCCCCTCTGTGCTATCTGTTCCCTCAGGCATTGTTGGGTGTTTACCCACTCCATGTTTAACTGCACCTCACGAAGGGCCAATCACTTCGTATTTCCTACACTTGCTTTCTCGCCCGAATGCATTCCCCAGTGTGGTTCACTACTCAGCATACAGATCTATAGCTAGCACAGCCTATAAGTACTATAATTTATGAAATGCTGATATTCTGTTGAGTTAGAGCCATCTACACAAAAATTCATAGATTTCATTCTAATGTAGTTTTGCATCTTGCTAGAAAACATCTTGTAGATAATTCGATCAAGTATCATAGAATGATTTGGGTTGGAAAGACCTCAGAGCTCACCCAGTTCCACCCCCCTGCTGTGGGCAGGGCTGCCACCCTCTAGCTCAGCTGCCCAGGGTGCCATCCAACTTGGCCTTGAACACATCCAGGGCATGCACAGCCTCCCTGGGCAGCCTGTGTCTCAGTGCCTCACCACCGCTTGAGTAGAGAATTTCCACCTAATATTTAACCTAAATTTCCTCTCTTTTAGTTCAAAGCCATTCCCCTTTGTCTTATCGCTATTAGGTCGAATAGAAAGTTGCCCTTCCAAAAACCCACCATTTTATCCTGTATGCAGTAGCAAGATTTCAGATGAGAATTTAACAGAATCTGACTTTGCTGAAAATACTATTATAGATTAAATCAGCTCAGTTTTGTTAAATCCTTATTAGAACGTGTATAATGACCACCAGAGTTTAACTCACACTCTGATTCTGAATGGAAGCTCTTACAAAAAAGATTCCCTAATGTTACCATTTACTTCAAAATGGCAGAATGCCCATACCACTTCCATTTTTTGTAAACTCATCATTATAATCTAGATGTGAGTGCAACAATCACTGTTTTGTGGAGGTAGATTTCAACACTTTTACACGTAGGAGTTAAAACCTTAAGTAAGAATTGGTCATTTAAGTTCTGCAATGACTGACTGATCTGGATGGCATTACTGCCACTGATCCTATTATGGATTTTAAGATGTGGATGCCATGCCGATCAGAATTATGCAATTTAACCCTTGTAAAACATCTTCTCTATATAATTCTTCTGCCACAGATTTGCAGCCCGCTATGTGGCACAAGCACTGCTGACCATCTGTTCCATTGGGATGTCACAGACATGAGTGCAACCATTTAAAGGAATGGTAAATAAGCACCCTGGGCAGAATATATACCAGTCCTTTGTTCAGTAGTAGCATAAGAAACATACTTTAGACCTGCTTAGTAAATGTATTTTCCAACATAGACTGCTGCCTCATTTTAAGTATTCCTGTTAACCACCCACTTTTAAAGATAAGAGCTGATGAGCTTTACATTTCTCATTTAAAAGTGTCTCTAGAACCAGGGCCAAAGAATATTTGCAAGTCCAAGGCCCACAGCTGTCAAAATGTCAAAGCAGAGCAATGGTTCTGAGGTATAAATTAGTTCTTGTAATGTGCAACTAAAGATCTTTTTTCCGAGCAGATTTCCATTCATAACTTTTAAATAGTCAAGTCTGTAACAACCAAATGCAGTCACAGAATGTATGTCTATCTGTTTGAGTTTGTGTGACTCTTGAAGGAAGAGAAGTCCCAGAGCATGTGGCACTTAGGACACGAAGTGGCAGTTTGTCTGAGGTTTCTGGATGATGTCACCTGTGCCTGGTTTGCTTCTGCACTGTTTGCATGGGTGGGGCTCAAAGATATTTTTCAAATGAGCCAGTGACAATGAAACACCTGATTTTCTGCTCCAAAACACAAAACTAGAAGGCTCTGAAACCAACTGCTGCCCAGCAAAAGGCCACTCCATATCAGTTTTCTGATGTTCCCAATTTCTGCGAAAAGGGGATTTCTGATGCAAGATACAAACCAACAGTTTTTCTGTCTTCTTTGTGACATTCAGATAGAGACAGAAACTGTTTGTAAGACTTCTGCTATGTGTACAGAGCCATGAGATCATGTGCAAAAGCTACAAGAGGTAAAGAAGCAGTGAGCTCCTCTCCACTTACCTCCTCCACGCAGATCCCTGAAAGTCGTGTGGCTAATATCACATTTGCAGTTCATAAATGCATACACTCTATTCTTAATGTAGACATTCTTAAAAGCTTTAATTATTTGTGCCAGATTACAAACGAGTTCATTTTATTGAATTGTCAGGGTGAAAAGTATTATTACAATAAATATATTTAAGGTATTTAAAAAAACGTAGCAGATTTCTCTATCTTTCTGTCATCATCACGTCTTTTTTCAGAGGTGTCTGAATAGAGCTGTATGACAAATGGAGTTGGTTCCTGAGCACTCCTGTACAGTACATTATCTGCACATCGCAAGGCAGAAAATACTCCAAAAGATTTCTTGCTGCCAGGTAGAGTAACATGATGTCCCCACAGCTGAGTTTCAAAACACATTTTTAGGGCAGCAGGCAAGAGGTTCCTGTATTCAAATCATGCATTGAATCACTGAGAATTGTAATATTGTGCAAAATTGGGTTTCTGGTATATTTTTAGAATTTAGATGAGATTGTGCCATGAATAACCGATCCATTTTTGACTGTACCATTTTAGGAAAAAAAATGTTTTTACTAAACAATTAGAAAATTTCCTCCAAAAGCTGCCCTGATAAGGAAGAGAGCATCACAGGGCACGTTTAGGATGCGTGCAAACACGTGCCACGTGGGCCACTGAGCAGAGCGGCGTGACAGTAGCTTGCTATGATTGCTCCATCACGCTGATGGCAGAGCCCCTTTGGAGTTTGGAACAGGAATGTTACAGTGAATGTAAACCACCCATGCCTTCTTTTGCCTGGAAGAGAAGATTATATATACATCCATATACATAAAATAGGTTCTATTTAAAATGTTTTAACTAACGATTCTACGAACCTCCCCTCCAAAAAGAATTCCTCCTTCAAAAACCTGACAGGAACTTTTTCTTCAACTTTTTCTCAGAGCTTTCAATCACGAAAGAAAAAAAAAAAAAAAAAAAAAAAAAGAAAAGCCGTCCGGAAAAAGTCTCTGGACATCATTCCAACGAACCGCCCTCCAACCCCGGTAGGGCTGCGCTCCCCACACCGCTACCGGCGCTGCCCTAGGCGCTCCCCCCGCCTCCCCACCCCCCGGGGGCAGCAGTCCGCGGACGGCCGCGTGGGAACCGCTGCGTTTCCGCACAGGAAAGGGACAGCTCATCGCTGCTGTGCAGCAGAGAGGGAATGAGCGGTTCCAGGAAAAACGGAACGGGGCTGGAGTTGGGAGAAGTGCCTCAGAAGTAGCGGATGCGCATTGTCAGCCCCCACCGCGCCGCTCCCCCGCTCTTACCTGCCCCTCTTCGCGCCTCCATCCCGCGGGCCCGGCGCACACGGATCCCGGCGGGAGCTCCCCCGCGGGGTACCCATCAGCCCCGCCGGTCCCGGCCCGCGCGGCGCCCCACTCAGCACTCAGCGCACAGCGCTGTGGCACGTATCCCTCCGCGGCGGCTCCCGGGAAAGGCGTGAGGCAGAGCCGCGGGAACTACTTTGGGAGAGCCGAGCGGCAGCGGGGCTCAGGGAGAGCGCCGCACCCGGCCGGGCAGCGGGAGGAGTGTAAGGGAGGGGTGTGCAGGGGGGCCACCCGCTTCCCTCCGCCCCGCTCCCCTGCGGTTATTTTGGATCGCGCAGTGGCGGCGGAAGGAGCCCGAAGCCGACGCTTCCGCCCAGTTTTCCTGTGAGGGGGCGGCGGAGCGAGGAGCGCAGCGCCCAACTTCCCGCAGCCCTCCGCGGGCCGGGGGCTCTCCCTGCCGCACCCCCGCACCGCACCACACCGCACCGCCGTGACGCAGCCCCTCGCTGCCGGCCCTCCCCCGCACCCCCCAGCCGCCTTAAAACGCCGCCCTCCCCCCCCCACCCCCCCTTACCGCCAGCCTCCTCCTTGGCACCGGCCCCCCCCTCCCCTCCCCCGTCGCCGGGCCGCGGCCGTCTGCAGGAATCCGGCGGAGAAGAGAGGGCGGGAGGAGGAGGAAGAGGAGGAGGAGGAGGAGGGCGGCAGCGCGGCGAGCGATGAGCGGCGGCGGGAGGACGGCGCGGCGCTGCGCCTGGCGGCGAGGAGCTGTGCCTGGGCGCCGCCGCGCCGCTTCCCAGTAACTGCGGGAGAGAGAGAGCGGAGCGCCGCGCCAGCGTTGCATCGCCGTCTCCGCCATCCGCACGGATACGGCGGCTTCGTGCTTCTGCGGGACCCGGACCGCTCCGGCCCGGCTGCGGCTGGGGGCGAGCGGGGGGGAACAATGGTGAAGTTTCTGGTGAGTTCTGGCTGCGCCCCGGCCGCCCCGCTGCTGCTGCTCCGCCTCGGATCACGGTGAGGGGAAAATGAGCGAGGAGACGGCGGCTGCTAACACCGAGTAAGCTCCGCGCGTGTGCGTGTGCGCGGACGGGGGCGCGGGTCGGGGCGCGGGGCCGTGGCGGTGTCGCCCCTTGGCGGTGGGGCCGGGCCGGGCTGCGGAGCGCGGTGTTCGGCGGCGTTCCGCATGGAAACGGGCGTGTGGGAGCTCCATCCTGCAGGAAACTGCTCCTGAATGTTAATTGGATGAGTCAGTCCGTGTAAATACGGCTTAAACCTGCCCTGGAGCCCTGCTTTTTCTTTTCCTTTTTTTTTTTTTTTTTTTTTCTTTTTTTTTTTTTTCTTTCTTTCTTTTTTTTAGTGAGAGCTTGGGACTTTTATTTTTTAAGAGAGGAAGGGGCAACTCAGGGATCTCAGTGTTTTTAACGTGCCGGGATTGAAGGAGACCTGGAGCAGAATGAGCGGTTGTAGATCACCATAACGTCTTAGAAATACTACTAATAAAAAAAAGAAAAATAAATCTTTGGGGCAGGAAGAGGAGATGAGCATTGGGCAGAGAACGCGAGAGTCCCTCAGGACTCTGAAACGCGAACGTGGGGCGTTCTGAAACTTCTTTTATCGCAAGAAAGTTCGGGTGCCCGCGGAGCTTCGGGTTGACGGCCCCGCGCCCGGGCGCTGCCACCCCCCGATGGGCCGTGTGGGCACCGCTGACGCCGCGGGTCGCAGGGTGCTGTGGGTCGCTGGGGAGCTGCGGGGTACCGCTGCCACCCGGGCAGGAGAGCGCGGGCGCCACCCCGC